TCATCCATTGATCTGTGTTTGAAGGAAATAATTCTGAAAATGTTTTCAAAATAGTTTCTTCTTTTCCTGCCTCTAGGAGGGGTACCCTTAAGCTTTTTTGTGTTAAAGAGACCCTTTGGCCATCCGGTACCTCCTAGGGTACCTCTCTTGGAATTACATTTTTTTAGAATTATATATATATATATATATATATATGTTTTTGTTTTTGTTATTTTTTTGCCGTACGCAGGCCTCTCACTGTTGTGGCCTCTCCCGTTGCGGAGCACAGGCTCCGGACGCGCAGGCTCAGCGGCCATGGCTCACGGGCGCAGCCGCTCCACGGAATGTGGGATCTTCCCGGACCGGGGCACGAACCCGGGTCCCCTGCATCGGCAGGCGGACTCTCAACCACTGCGCCACCAGGGAAGCCCTTAGAATTACATTTTTAAATGCATGAGACAAAATACAAAATAAGCATACAAGAGAAACCAATTTCGTTGAATTACAGTTACTAGAATACTTTTTAAATTGTAGTAATGTATGTTGTATTAACTAGCAAATCTAGCAGCTGGTCTAATAGCTACTGCAGTTTCAAAATAGTGTAAACAGTACTTAGAGATTATCTTCAACATATAAAAGTACCCGTGACCTCTCTTGGAATCAGTCTTAGGTACTGCTCACACTACTGTGATTTGTGGCCTAACTTATATTTTGAAAGACATATTAAATGTCAGTATTTCAGCAAAGAAAAGAACATAAACACTTTCCCCTTCCAAGTTCACCTGCTCTCTGAATTAAATGCACAAACCCCAGGTTAAGAACTCCAGTCTATTGCTAGGCAGACCCTCCCTCAAAGTAGGGCAGTGTCCTTGCCTGGGTGCCACTCCAAGTGATGCCAGTAATCCATGAACCCATTATTGCCAGTCCCAAGGAAATAAGTACCAAAATTGAGGATAAATATTTAGAAGCTTCTATTGCCACTTGTCATGGTAACTTATGTCCACTGACCCTAATAATTAAAAACTGGAGTTTGTGTTTGTGTATATATATGTTTTAAAATTTTCTCTTTCTAGTAATTTATTTTTATGTTAAATTTACAAAAGTCTCAGTCTGTGACATAATGGAAATTTTTGTTTTTACAAAAACCTGATTTTTTACCACGGATCATTTTAAAAGCTCTGCTCAACTACTGTTATTCCTGGTCATTTGCTTTTATGGATCAGTGAAAATTCAAGAAAAACTTAGGCCAAGGGACCTAAATTTATAACCTGTGTATCACTGAGAAAAACTAAACAAATAACTAAATAAATAATGATCTATTATCATTATTTCATTGTGGACACAGACTATTAAAATGGAATGAATTTATCTTTTTGAAAAGTTCACTTTCTTGTCCTTATTTTTCTCATTTCATCGACCAACAGAGAAGGAAGCTCATCTCAGTGCTCTGTGATGACCTAAATGGGTGGGACTGGGGGGGGTGCAGTGGGAGGGAGGTCCAAGAGGGAGGAGACATAGGTATACATAGAGCTGATTCACTTCATTGTACAGCAGAAACTAACACAACATTGCAAAGCAATTATACTCCAATAAAAAAATTAAACAAATAAATAAAAAGGGAGTTCGCGATTGACATGGACACACTGCTATATTTAAAATGGATAACCAACAAGGACCTACTGTGTAGCACAGGGAACCCTGCTCAATATTCTGTAACAACCTAATTGGGGAAAGAATTTGAAAAAGAAAAGGTACATGTATATACATAACTGAATCACTTTGCTGTACACCTGAAACTAACACAACATTGTTAACCAACTGTACTCCAATATAAAACGAAAAAGAAAAAAAAGAAATGTTGGGAACCAGTAAGACCTGCAGACCAGGTCTGATCTACTGCGTTTGTTTGGCATCACAATGACAAAGAATTTTGAACTAAAAGAGGAAGCAAAGGAAAACTAAGGTGTACGGAGGCCTGTTGGGTACTGACGCCTTTTGCCCACATTATCTCATCAGTATTCACAACGGCCTGACAGCTGCAAGGGTCTGAACTGCCATGCGGATACTTGTCCACTCTGCATCAGAGCCCACGCAGACCGTTTAGTATAAGCCCGAACAAATTTCAAAGACCACCACATACAGCCCCCTCATTTTACAGAGGGGGAGCCTCGGACCTAGCAATTTTGTGAGGTTTGCATTAGTCTAATAATGGAATGTAGTACGTGCGTGTTAACATTTAAAAGGGAAAAATTTTTGGCAGCTATATACTTTGCCCAAGGCCCTGTACTACTCACTGACTCTATGATGTTGCCTGACTAGAGCTTTTGAAAAGTGTAGCCACTGGATTTAAAAAAGAGATGATTCAGGACAGACCAATGTACAGAACTGTGATGCTGAGAGTGGTTTGTGACCCTGGTGACACAGCCTTACTTGAGCCTGAGGAGGTCAGGAAAACATGTCTGTCCGGGAGCCATGGGGGCCATGCAACTATGAGAGCCAGTAATGTGAGGACAAACCCTCCTCCTCAGAACTCTCCAGCCAAGCCCCTTCCCCAGACCCCGTGGCCCCATGTCTGGATCATGCAGGAGTTCGGGGGCCTCCTCCCTCCTTCCAACCCCTGAAAATACGATAACCACTTCCTAAACACAAGTCAATTCAATGTTTAGTTATTATACGTGTGCTATAAACAAGCAGCTATCAGAATAGCAATGACAGCAATATTTATGGAACACTGATATGGCCCATGCATTATGTTAAATAAGTCACAGGCATGATTTCAATTTCTCCTCATAATTACACTACGAGGCAGTGACTGTTATCACCCCAGTTTTACAGCTGAGAACCCTGAGGCACAAAGAGCGACTTCCCAAAGGCTGTGTAACTAACAAGAGGTGAAACCAGAACGCAAGCGCAGGCAGTCTGGTCGAGCCTACGCTGGAACACAAACGTGAGTGCTGCCTCCATAACCTCACAGCCAAGAGCATGTAAGAAGTCAAACGGCTACGCTACAAAAGACAAGGCAGCACTGACAAATGTCATTGGAAAAAGAACACTCCCATTGGGGAGGGACAGGAAAGAAAGAAATTAAAGGCCAAGATAGATGGGAGTGGGAAAGGAGGAGAGACGTTAAGATTTTGGGGGCTAAGGGATCAGCATAAGCAAGGCACAGAAGTAAGAAAGAATGGGACCTGCTTCAGAAACTGCAGCAGAAAGACGAGGGAAGACAGTTGTGGGAAAGTCAGGAACATTATTGGAAAAGTACCCTAGAGTCGCCGCATCACCGAGATTCTGTTAACAAGAAGACTTCCACCAGCAACAGGGACCCATCACAGGCTGTCATAAACATGAAATAGATTTCTGAGCCTAGGATTTCTCTGCCTAGGACTCAACGTGCAGGATTATCTGTCTCTGTGAGTCTTTACTCAGAATATTACTTCTTCCCACACCTCCAAACAGAACAAGACATATCCATAGGGAACACTGAGAGCTGTACAAGCTGCATGTCCACTGGAGTGGCCCAAAAGTATGGAACTCTGCCACCCTGAGATCCTCCATGGGCATTCCCTGAAGACCAAAGAGTCAGTGGATCACAGTCAATCCTGGGCAAGAACACCCGTCTCTCCCTGTGCAACTTTCCCAAAACAAAACTTTATTCAGGCTTCTCTTCTAAAACCTAAAATAGCCATGGTCTAGTTCTCACGATAAATCGCACTTTTCTCTCTTTAAGGCCCTCACTGTCATTTTGACTCCACTACTCCAGTGTTTTTCACTATGCACCAGTCAACTTGGCTCATGGCTGTTTCTGCATTTTTGCCTGAGGGCAGCCCTCCACCAGGGCTGTGTCTACATCCTCTTGTCCTCTGTTTTCTGTGAAAACCCCTCTCCTATTGCAAAGCCAAGTTTAAAATCCACTTGGTCATGAAATTTTCTCCAAACACTCAATTCACATTGACGTTTCCTCTTTTCTGAACTACTGAAGTTAATAGTACATTCAAGAATAGTGTTCTGTCTTATGGGTGAACATACCCCAAAGTGCTCAGGGGAAAGCTAGCCTCTCATCAAGTCCCTGCTGGCTGAGTTCCCTCAGAGTCTCCCCAAAGTCAGACCCACGTGAGGAGCCTATTCTGACCTCCTGAGTGGAGAAGGGACAGCTGGGCCCCAGTGTGTGTTCTCCATCCTCCTAGCATTGAACATGGCAATGGATTCTCCCTTCTTGGAATAAAATCCTTATGAAAAGATATTCATCGGTCTGGATTTTACCAGCAATGGACTGTGGGTGGGTTAGATAATCCTGAAAGTATTCCTAAATAAGCTTATTAAAATCTGAAACAGGTAGATGTAACACTGAAGTCAAGTTAAATCATCTCTTGGACACTGTTTCCATGTTAAGTCTTCAGCTGGTGATTTAGTAGTCCCCTGCATGGTGTCATAGAAAGAGCATGGGGTTTGGAAACAAACTAGCTGGGGTCTGAATATTGGATTCTCTGCTTACTTTCCACAGACCTTGGGCAGTCATTTCAATGCTCTGAAGCTCAATTGCCCTCTCTGTACATTAGGGGTGAGAATATGTGTGACATATATTAGTTTGTGCCTAAGCTGAGATAATAAGTCCCTGATATCCAGTGTCGTTTTCCCAGTCCCTCCCTAACTTGTCTTTTCTGAAAATAAAGTCAAATAAAACCCAGCAAGCGGTCGCATTAGCTTAAATTCTGTTAACAACTCCTCCTTCAGTTCATCCACCCCCAGGAAGAGCCTCACTAGCCTGGGCCGGAGGAGGTGTTCTCTTGCATCCATGGACCACCGACAGACAAGTGCTGAGCATCAGTGCCTCCCACGGGGAACCACAGGCTGAGGGGGAAAAGCAGCCCAGCCCATGACTTTGTTCTCCATGGCTCCTTAACATTCCTTCTTCCCCCATCTCTCCCCATCCCACCACTCCCAAGCACATGCCATCTCCACACCTTCTTGTCACAAAGCATCTTTCACAGCCTCCACAGCCTACAAAATTGTATAAATTGTACCTCTTTCTTTTTATCGCAACCGAGTTCCTTCTTTCATTCCCAAAATAAGCTCTTCACATCAGACGCTATCTGGCAACGGAGAAGTTGCTTAGAGAGTAATTTCCCTGCCCAGAAATGTTCAAAGAAAGGTGAAAATAAAAGAGACTTATACTGGGCATTACAACATTTCCTTCTCTTATGAAATACCTATTATTCAGCAGTTTTACACGACCTTTCACCCTTTCCTACCTCACCCCCACAGACAGGAATACGTGCAGACACCGGTGTGAGTCCAAGGAGAGAGTTATTAGGAATAATATATTACTTAGTATTCACCTGTTAGTAATAAAACTTTATATCTGTATAATACATTGCAGTTTTCAGAGCACTTTAATCTGTATTATCTCTCTGATCACACAAAGAAATAGAGCAGGAATTTTTAATCCCCATGTATAATGAGGAAACAAACTAAGAAAAATGATTTGCTAAAGGTCACTCAAATACTGGCCAAGTCGAACTAGTGCTAACTTAGTTTCAATCTAGTAACCCAGCGTTCACAGAGTCTGAAGTCGGTAAATCCAGAAATTGCTTTTTCAGACTAAGTACTTGTTCATTCATTCAACAGATTCAAAGTTCACTCTCCACCACGTATCCCAAAGAGGAAAGCTCAGATCCCATCCGTTATCAAATTCTACCATCCTCCCCTCACAGATGGATACTTCTCTTAAGTCCAAAGCTTGTCCTAGAGATTTCTACCATTTCCTCCATGGCTCCCCTACCCCACGTCCAGGGAACCGGCCCAATCCTGTAAGGGACCCCAATACAGTCCTAACTCACCAGTTACAGCTGACTGGACCAGCACTGTACAGCTGATCCAACCTGGTCCAATTGGATTCTCTCTCCCGGAAATTAGGATTTGAGACACAGAGTCTGAATCATATTCAGGCTGTGGGATCATGTCATGTTACTGAGAGGCAGAAATTAAGGTTTTACTGAAAATACCTGTTTCCCCAAAGGAGAACAGGATAGACATATGGAAAGAAGCAGGAGTAAGAGATTATTCAAACCCAAAGAAGAAAAAGTAAAGAAACTAGCTACCAGTATTTTTCCTATTTCTGTTAAGACCAATACACAACAGAATTTCAGGTGATTCTCCTGCTTCTTCACCAAAATACTACTTCTACAATTACTACCACCACTGCTTCTACTACTAACCACCATCATCACCACCATCATCACCACCACCACCATCACCGCCATCACCATCACCATTATCACCATCAATACCACCATTATCACCATCACCACCACCACCACCATCACCACCACCATCACCACCACCACCACCACCACCACCATCACCACCACCACCACCACCATCATCACCACCATCACCATCACCATTATCACCATCAACACCACCATCACCACCACCACCACCACCACCACCACCATCACCATCACCACCATCACCATCACCACCACCACCACCACCAGCATCACCATCACCAGCATCACCATCACCAGCATCCCTTCCTGCAGCCATGTACTGTGAGTTTCTATACCTGGCAACCAAATAGTCTCTGATGGCCCTGCTATGGCAGGCTCTCATTGTCTCCCTCTGTCCAGTGTAAATGCTTTCAACAGAAATTTCTAACTACTCCAGTCCAACCTACAAGCAACATATTGTCAACACTTTGCTGACTTCTACAACCACTTGCAATTGTAGGACCTTCAAATCCCCACCAAGTCCCTCTGAATTATATGGCCTCCCTATAGAATTGTGCCTTTTAGTTCAGGAATACATGTAATCTAGGGGTATGTGGTGACACACTGAGAGGTACATAACACATCTTCTTGGAAAATCAACTTTAGTCAAAGTCCTTGGAGAGGAATAGGCAATTTGAATCAATATTTGGAATTATGAAAAATATGGCAGTATAAAGTAATGGCATGCATAATTTTTTTCAACATAAAACACTGAATTTACAGAAATTTTCCTGTGAGCCTGCTTCCCGCAGGTCCCCACCCCAGGGGAAACTGTGAAAAGAAAGCCATAGGGAATGTCTTAAGGGCGCCAATAATGTCTCACAGCCACACACAGGCTCTGGCTGTTGTTGTTGCCCTCTTCTCTGGCTTGCCCTCTCTCCCCCACACACTCCCTCACCATCTGCTCTCTGGGAATCTCCGTGTCACACCATCTCCCTTGTCTCTGCTAGACAGTGACCCTCGAAGTGTCACTGCTGCTCCGTGCTCTCTTCCTTTCGCCATTACAGAGAAACAGAACAGGGCTGATGTCATCCAGCGTCTCACAGCTCTATCAGCTTTTACTTAAAACCTCCTCTTCCATAATTCATATTAGTGGACAAAATAAAGCTCAGAAAGGGGCCTGAGCACCTTCTAAAGCAATCCCTACCCACAGGTCCCTGCTGGGGAAAGTGACCCAAGTATGTCCCTAATCACAAGACTCCATGCTGGCACCTGTGCTGACTGGACCTGGGCCGGGCACTAACCCAAGACAGCCAGTCCTTCAACTGACTGGCATCTCCAGACACCGCCCGCCGTGTGAGCACCAGACAACCCAGATTCTCCTTCTGAATGGAACGCAGAGAATCTGCAGCAGGATCGGTTAGTAGCAAGAGCAAAACTGAAAGGTAGAGCAACAGAAATAAGCTGTGTGAGACCATCTTTACCCTCATCTCCCCTGGCGTGACCTCTCTGCCCTCCTCCCTCTGACAGTTCAAAATGGACAGGATATGCTTTAAATGCAGGAAGCAGAGACGTCCTTCCTTTTGTTTCCTCTCTTGCGCTTCCTGTTTTCTGCCTCTTCGTGACAAACGAACCTAGACACAGGGCAGGCTGCCTTTCCCTCAATGGTCCACTTCCTCGCTTCACATCCCCAGATGGGCAAATGGACTCAGAGCCCTTCTCACAGGCAAGTTATCAGTTAGTCATTGCGTTCAGCTTCCAGTCACAGTGGCCCAAGCATTGTGACTTAAAGACAGAAAGATATTACCTTTCTCACTTTCTCTGCTCTCTCTGGAGCACAGTAGTCACTGGTGTGGTTTCACAAACTCAAAAACTTAGGATTGAGATTCTCTTGGCTTTTCGCTCATGGTTGGAGCTCCAACCATAACATCTTAGTTCAGGCACAGAAAGAAGAAAAGGAGGCAAGGGCTTTCTAAAAAATCCCATCCAATGTCTTCTTCTTGTGTCTCACTGGCTACTCTTATCTGAAAGAAAGATGGGAAATGCAGTTTATTTTTAGTTAATATTGACATACCCAATAACACAGGGGTTCTGTTGGCAATGAAAAGGAGAGAACTAATAGTCTGCAGGCAATTAGCAATAACTACCATGAACAGAATGGCAAGTTGGATGCGTGGATTCTGCCTAGGTCTGCTGCATGCTCCAAACCAAGTTGTACCAGAGTTCCACCTTGGGAGCTTTCAGACGCTGGTCTAGCTTTCAATAAAGTAACACACGCCCTACACCCCATTTCCCTGCTGCTCCTCTCATGTAATCGGAGTGATTGGCAGAGCTGGATTTGTGAATTCCCGGGACTCTTGGCTACATGCCATCTAAAAGCATCAACATTCTAACTCCTCACTTAGTAACCTTGGCCAAGATATCTAACTAACCCTCCTGAAACTCCACTTTGTCATCAGTAAAATGGAAGTATCACTACACTCTTCACACAGCAACTCTGAGATTAAAGGACATTCAGCCTGCCATAGCATGATAAATGGTGTCTAAAATTTCACTTCTGTGACATACGCGTCACATTATTGCAAGAGTAAATCAATGACTGGGGTGAGCCTGCACGGAGAGCAGGCCAGGAATTCCAGGTCTCACAGTGGTCTGGCGCCACCTCGTGGCAGCTGTTGAGTAATGACAGGAAGATTCTGGATCCCAAGCTGGCTTTGACTTGGGAAAATGGGAGGGATTACATGACTCTTCAGTTCGATTATCTGGGGAGTTCGGAGACACAAGACTCATCCGCAGGTGCCATGCTTCCTAAGAGCAACTTTCTGTTGCTGTTCTTTCCCACTGGTCTCAGACAACCCTCTGAGGCAGGAGATAGACAGGCCCCAGGCTGAGCAGCTGGAGTCTGTCCCCTGTGGACAGATACTCCAAGATAAAGATTATGGCAGGGGCAGGGAGGACCTGAGTGCCGCCCAGATAAAAGATAAAGAGACCACATATTTCCATTCTTGAGGTCAAGGAGACTTACCCAACTACACAGGAGCAGAAAGGCTCCTCGGGGGCCAAAAAGGGAGGGGGCGCCACCCCATAATAGGTGGTGTCAACCTTCCCATAGGCCTCTGTGCTGGAATCCATCTTGGCTAAGAGATGCACAGGCACACAGGGGAGGACCCGGAGTTAAACCAAATACGGACTCAGAGCCAGGCAAAGCGAGATGATTGGCCAGAGGAAACCCAGAAGAAATGCCCACATAAGTGATTCAAACCACCACGGAGGTGCGACTCTCTCTCTGAGCCAGCCCGTGTGCGCCTATTCACAGGTACTTTTTTCCTCCTAATAAACACTTTACTTGTTTCACTACTTTCCATTTCTTTGCTGAAATTTATTTCTACAAAGCAGACAAGCCAGGGACTTCTCACTGGCCACTGGCCCTCATGGTCTAGTGGCTAGGATTCAGCGCTCTCACTGCTGTGGCCTGACTTCAATCTCTGGTCAGGGAACTGAGACCTTGCTTCAAGCCACTGCAGGCCGAGGCCACCCAAGATCACCTCCATAACTGTCTAACCACAGGGTAAGAACTGAAGCCAGTCCCTAGGTAGGAATGGGGGCAGGTGCCAGACGAGAAGAAGCCAATCATGGATCACTTTATATTATAATTCTCACAGAAGTGAAAGAAACAGTCTTGGTCAGGAGCCCAGCCCCTCCAGTCTCACCTGCTACAAGGCAGCACTGGCCTCGTCTCACCCGTCAGAGCACAGGGCTCCTTCCTACCCTGGCACCTTCCTGGGGGCAATATCCTCCATCGTCACCATGGCCCTACTTCAGAACAACACCATCCCAGTCATCCGTTTCCTGTCAGCTGTCTGTCCCGTTAACATTAAATTGTTTCTTTCAGTTACCTCTCTTATCTCAAGTCGTTTAGC